TAACTGGTGGGTTTTTTTTTCACTCAGTTTTGTAAACAAATACAAATGTCTTCCTGTTGAAGTAAATACTAAAGTCCCTTCTGAATTTCTGAAGCACTTCTTCTATCATATATAATTTAACATAATATGATGGGCTGATTGAGGCATGTTACACTACAAAATGTACTCACTTCCCACATAATTCTACACAGTCACTCTTTCCATTGTAAATATTAGATTTCATTATACCCTTAGTATATTTCAAAATGAGGCTACCAGTCTTTAGGCTTTTATGGGTGTGCTGCAGAGCTTCATAGTAATTATTTCATTTCTTGTATTTTATGTATTTCCTTGTTCAAATGGAGACAGAGATACAACAAATTTCAGAAAGCAGAACATAAGAGAAATTTAAGAGGGGAATCCAAGGATCTCCTACTTTAAACTTTCACTGTATAGGCTGACTATCACATACCCATTTATCTATCAGATTTCCATCTCAAACTTCCATCTCTAGCAGCAGTTTTCTGTTTTTCTTTTCACTCAGATTTGCACCACTATCACAAAATAGAAACTGTTTTGTACCAGTAGTGTCAAATTTGCATCATATGTATGGACAAAGTAAAAATACTTTGAGGCTTACATTTGCCTTCAAATTAAGCAGCAGCAGTCCCATCTCCTGATTCTTTTGCAAATTAGATCAGGAAACAGTGGATCCTTTTGTTATGTCAACTTTTATTTTTGTATTATAGAAAGACTAAAGTATCCATTTTTTATGAACATTAGACTAGGACTAAGTCAGTTCTTACTCTGGGCAAATTACAAAGAATAATTATATACAAAATATATCTGCTTTTCAATAGACATGTTTCCCAGACCCTGTATAAGGCATTCTTATCAACATTTTCCATTGATATATTATTTTAATAGCCTTTTGATCAGTGGTCTGTTAACTTTGGTTTTGTTTGCTTGTTTGTGTGTTTTTTTTAATTTTTTTTTACTTTCAGAATGTTTACTATTCATCCATTTAAAAATAAATATCAAACATTTTTATCAAGATAACCATAACAAATTTATTTGCATATGTCTATTGTATCTGAATTATTAATGCCTTTTTTATTCCTTCTTACCTAGTATCTCTACTAACATTACTACTTCACTTCCTCTGGACATGTACTAAGAAATTTATGATTATTGACCTTCTGCTGTCCATAGAATTTTTACCTCCACTGATATTTTTGCTGCCCTCATCTATAATTTAAGTTACACCTACAGAAAAAAGATTGAATTATAAAATCACAGAAGAAAAGCCTTTCTGAGGGGTCTACTGAAAATAGTCCTCTCTGAACCTCCTGCTCAACACCCAGCTAACTTTAAGATTAGATCAGTTTATTCAAAGTGTTATCTAGCTGTACACTGAACACCTCCAAAGATGAAAATTCCACAGTATTCACAGACAAACATTCCACTGCTTAACCTCTCATATTGTGTTTTGTTTGCTTTCTTGCTCCCAGCTTTTTATTTTATAAGGATTTCCCTTTGTACATCTTGTGGTCTCGGTCCTTTGTTGTTTTACTGTGCACCCCCAAAATCAGCCCAACACTTGTTTCTGTATTCTCTAAGCAGTACATGAATGCTATTAAATCACCCTTTAAATATCTATTCTTCAGGCTGTTCAGCCACCCCTCATGTCATGTGCTCTTTAGTGGCTCTTCACTGTACTATGTCCTGTTTGTCACTATCTTTGATGCTTTAAACATGACACAAAACAGAAATGCATTTTTCTCTGTTTTTTTTTTTGCTTTTCTGTTTATGTTTTCTGGTTCAAATTCAGTTTGCACCTTTAATTCCTCCTTTCTTAGAACATTTGTCTATGTTTTTCAGTATTTCCTGTCACCACTTTGACAGACTAAACACACAACACCATTTTGACTGTTATAAACACACAAGCTTGATCAGTCACACAATAGAATTGTAGAACCATGGCTTGTCTAGGAAGGGACCTTGAAAGATCATCTAGTCTGACCCTTTCTGCCATGGGCAGGGACAACTTCTAACTGACCAGGTTGCTCAAAGCCCCATCCCACCTGACCTTGAACAACTCCAGTGATGGGGCATCCACAGCTTCTCCTGGCAATCTGTTCCACTGCCTCACCATACTCTTCCTGTAAAAAATTCTTCTATTTAACCAATCAAAATCTAACTTCTCTCAGTTTAAGTTTCCTTGTCCTGTCAGTATTGACCTTAGTAAAAAATTCTGAGTTTTTCTTATAAATTCTCTTTCAGTATGGAAAGACTTCAATGAGGTCTCCCTGGACCTTTCTCCAGGCTAAATATCCCCAAATTTATCAGCTTTTCTTCCTAAGATAAGTGCTCCAGCCTTCTAATGATACTTGTTGCACTCTCAACCTTCTCTAACAAGCCCATATATTTATAAACAGCTGGATGCAGTTTTATGGGTGGGGTCTCATCAGGCTGGAGCAGAGGGGGAGAATAACCTCAAACTGCTGCCCACACTTCTGATTAGCCCTGGGTAGGATTGCCAGTGCTTCTGGGAATGGAAAGATGTTGTGCAACATTTACTGTTTGGGAAAAACAAAAGCAAACAAACAAAAAACCCAAACAGCAAAAGGGGGTGGGGGGGTAATAAATAACCTATATTTATCAAAGGAATTTTTAATGACAAGCCATCATTCCAGATTAGGTATGATAGACTGACTAGAGGGTTTAAAGCAAAAACTGTGCGGGGAGAAAAAAATGGAATTAAGGCAAATCAGAAAAGCAAAATGGACTCAGATCTGGAAACTCCTCTCTTATTATTCAAATTCTACTTTTCTAGATTTTAAGCTTTAATACCAAGGTCTTCCATACTAGGAATTATGGCAATATGTGAAATAGAAGTTTGAGATTTTACAATGCTTTAGTTAGAAATTGTCTGGCATTTTGGCTTTTCTTGTAGTTTAACAGAAACATGATCACATTCCTCAGCAGGAGATATCAGGTAACAGATAAACAGCAGAAACTTCAGAGTCTTTCCAATTTCTTCTCTGACAGCTGCATTCCAGAAGGCAAATAGCAAGCACATGTAATTCTTCAAAGAACTCTTCAATCCACTTCTTTTTTTGTAATGATGGTCTGGACATAGTTGTAGTGTTGCCTTACCTGAAATAGTTTGTGAGCAGTACCTGGAAAAGCCTCTGACTGCTCTCTTTTTATTTCTGGCTCTGCAGGTATCTCTGAACAATTTTGCTTGTATTTATGTCTGAGTCTCAGCCACAACCTCAAGAAATGCCAAAAACAATAAAATCATATTCTAAGCGATATAGAGAAAACAGAGTGTTTTGACATCATCATATGAGCCCTCATGCAATATTTTTATCCCTTCATCATCCTCATTGATTCTTTTACCCTTCTTGCTTCCAGACAGAAGCCATCACTAGCACAATTCTTTCTTCTCAGGTGTTACATGTCCCTGACTGTTGCTAACCTCCTTAAAGGGTGCATCTCTCACCCACTCACCCCACCAGCTCTTGGCTGCCCTGGTGTCCCAGTAGGAGTGGCGGAAGTTCTTCCACCAGTCCCACGACACAAGGAGTTATTGCTCCCCCACCCCACAGTCTCTCAGACTACTGTCCCTGAGTAAGAAGCAGCTCCATCTTGGGGGACAACAGTCACATGGGAACTGGGGGAACCAGCTCCAGCCACCCCCAACCACCTTCAGCTGGCCAAGTCTGCTCCAGATAATGAGAGAGGCTTCTTCTGCTTCTGCCAGGGCTGTTCTGGTGCTAGGGACTACCAGGAACAGAGGAGAGCATAAAATAAGTCCAAGCATGTCTGTATCATGAAATATGCTTCAAGATAGAAGAACAATTTTAATGCCACAGTGTCTTCATTAGGAGCTACACACAGGGTGAATTGCTGGTTTGGATCAGCTCTAGGACTTGTCAGTTTAAGATTTTTAAGCACCTCTAGTAGAAAGACAGTAATGCTTATTTCAGAGAGCATTACACAAGGCATGTTGTAATCCCGCATGACTTGCCAAAAGCTTGTCACTTTTGCTATTAAATTTCAGGTATATTATCTTCATTGTGCAAAGGGCCTAGGCATGGCATTGAGCCCACCAGGCTGGGTTATACACATATAATTAAAGTGCACTGTTTATTTTGGTATGTGAAACAGAACAAGATCTAGCAGCTTGCTTTCTGCTTAATTTTGTGGTGCAAAGGGAGGGAAAGAATTTGGAACCACCAGGAGGGCAGTGTTTTTAATTTTGAAATACTCTCTCTGAGTTTCCTGAAATGCATAATCAGTTTCTTACCAAACCATGGACTTATTTTTATTCAGGTCTGCCTTTTAAAAATCATAAACCTTTAAGGTTTATATGCAGAAACACAATTTTCATAAAACAACTTTAATTGAAGCAAATTACATCATTAGTCTACATTTATCACCATAATATTTGACAGTGAAATAATTACCTTTATGTGAAGGTTCTAAGTAATGTTATTGACTTAATTATGTCAAAGCATCCTTGTGAGTAGTATTTTAGAAAGTAAAGTAAATCACTTTTCCAAAAAGCCATGTTTTAATGACATGAGAAAATGAGCTTTGAATGCAACATCTGAGGCTTCAGAAGCTGTAATTTGTATTAATACTAATAGCTCTTATGCAGGCAAAAAGGAACTAACAGAACATTAAATATTCAAAAGTGTTACTATATTTTTGAGAGAAAAGAAGATTTTGCTCTAATGTTTGTTGTGTGCTTTGTTTCTGGGTCCTAAACTATTCAGTGTAGATGATTATTTGCCTTTTATTTTTGTTTCATTGTATTTGTTTATATGGAAAAAGGATTATTTAAAAATAAACATTCTATGGCTGAATTCTTAGCAGTTATAAAGTATGTCAGCATGCACATTTTTATCTTTGTATAGTCTACTAACTTGAAAGGGGAAAATGTTTTGATTTAATATAAGTAAAAGGTAATCAAAACATTTTTGATTATTTGGTTAATTTTTATTTCTAAGGATCTCTTTGGACACTTTTACTCAAGGAAGACAGCAGACTAAATGGAAGCCCCCTGTAGCTGATATCCAGAAACTAAAAACTTTCTCTCAAGACCTTTGTAGGTTCTCACAGTGGTATATGGAGTACACTCTTAAAACACAGCTACAGATAAAGGTAAGGAGGGCAGAGTATTACTGGCATTATGTGGCTAACAATCTACTAGAGAAATATGTTGGATGGAAAATAAAATAAGGTGATTCAGTTTGTTCCTCATATTGAAAAACAAAAATGTCAAATAAAATAGCCACATTAGTAAGTTTTGGGGAAAAAGGACTTCACTGGAAGGGCTACATGCTTTCTACTGAAAACTAAATTGCTGTACAGCAAAATCCAGAGACAAAAGAAATAGATAAAAGAAATGATCTAATACTTATGTTATTCTGCTTCACTGGAAGAGGAAGACTTTGACTTCTCCAGCAGATTTCCTATGGTTATTTTTAGGGTTTATTCCTCTTTAATTTTGATTTTAACCAGTTATTGCTTTATGTAAAATGCATTAATATTCTGAGCAATGTCATACTAACATCTGAAAACAGTTTTTTCCCTTGTTATTATATTGTGAACCCAGTGCCTACAAGTTCAAAAAACCTTTCAACACTTAAAAACTGTGAAGGTTAATATCCTGTTGCTTTCATACTGAAATGAATATCTCAATGAAATAGAGAAGAGAATTTTAATGTAAATAAGATTTTTTTAGTTAATGGATTGATAGTTTACCTACCACTGTTAACAACTACGTAAGTAGTGACTGAATTAAAACCCAGAAAGCTCTCACTCTGTCACTCTGTTGGTCGCACAGAGGAACTAATATTGAAGCTTCAAGGAATTTTAGAAATAAAATTTTCTTTTTGTTTTGAAAATAGACAAAAATTAAACAAGAAAAAAACCAGAAGAGAATATGCTCATTCTTCCCCTGCTGCCAAGTACTACAACATTGAAATCTGCTGACAGGCAGATGACTTTAAAAGACTAAATTGCAAGTATGTAAATTATGGGTGTAATGTCATAACTTACAAGAATTTGATTAGTGTTAGTTTTATATTCTGAAAATATGATATATTGTGAGAAATGGACTAAAATTTGACCTAAATGTTCCACAATTGGTCTAGAAATTCACTATTTAATTAACTAATAAAAAGTAGTTGAAATCCAATCCAATGTGTGTGGACCTTAGGACTGTAATTATTAATGAGTATCCATGTATGCAAGATTTCACATCTGTGGTTCATCTAAATAAGAAAAAACTCTAAACCAACCAACCAAAACTAACAAAACCCACAAAAACAAAGCAAAAAAGGAAAAATTAACAAAAAAAAAACCAAAAAAACAAACTAAACCAAAAACAAACCTGCTTAAGAATCGCTATTTTTTTATCATAAAATCTTCAAAAAAGATCAGGAAGAGAAAAAAAACATTCAGATTTTCAATGAGAAGCACCATTTGAATTAACCATATGCCCCATATCTGGAGCAGGAGGGCCTCTAGAAAAATCTCTGCTATTCACTATTTTTGTCAAAAGGTTTGACAAGTATGGGAGAAATGTTAAAAGATATTGAAATAGTATCTTTAGATGGCAAAATCAAAATTTGCTCTCAAGTGAATTTTTTCTTCTGAACAAAATAATTGGATTTTTTTAGTAGCAGATGCTACAAAGGTGATCAATGTGTGAAAATGTGGTGGGTTTCCCAGTGTCAGGAAGACCTAGCTCCTGCTGGCTCCACAATGGACCCACTGCAGAATCCTGGTGCCCCTTCTGTGTCAACATGTTTACAAAAGGAAAAAGAATGCTGTATAGGCAGAAAAGAAAGGAAGAGGGAACACTAGGGGAGACAAGGCAGAGGAGAAGGAGAAGAGGGGAGAGGAGGAGGAGGAAGAGAGGACCAGACTGGAGCAGATGGTTATTTCCTGAAGGAACTAAATTCTGTGGGGAAACACACTCCAGAGTAGATTTTTCTTTTTGCCCAGAAGGACTGATTGCAGCCCATGGAAAAGCACACACCAGGGCAAAGGAAAACTGTGAAAAAATACAAATACCTATTTCTACCTACACCTTACCCTGCTATTTAGGGAAAGAGTAAGAAGTTTGAGTGAATGTCTGAAATTAAGTTTCAGAGAGTGGGAAAGACATGTCTTCTTTTATTTTTTGTCTTGCTTTCTCCCTATCCAAATCTATTTTAAATGGCAATAAAATAAATAAATTTTTCACAGTATTTGGTAAACAGTCTCCAGTCTTTATTTCCTCCCAGAAGATTTTTAGATTTTTTTTTAGATTTTTAGTCTTAATTTCTGTCCCTAAAGAAAGGGAGTGAACAAGTGGCTGGGTTGGTTCAAGTGGTTGTTTGCCAGGGCTAGCCCACCAAAACAATACAAACATTCTGCTGACATAAATGTACAAGACAGGCTTAAACTTCTGCAGAATCAGTCACCACTGAGATAAACACTGTTTAACCAAAAGACAGAAGTATTTGTAAGAATAATACAATGTTTTACATTTTGCCTTATGGCGTCTCTGACTTTGATATATAACCCAAGTTCTGGAAACAGCAGAACTGAAAATACTTGCGGGGAATTATCGCCAATGATTGGCTTATTTCCAAATAATGCATTACCACTGAAGTGATTTGCCAATGTCTTTCACTACATATTACAACTACCTATCATTCACTTTTAAATTTGTAGCTGAAGATAGTTGTCACTGCCTCCTTCATATAAGTACAAACACACTCACAAATGCACATTACTGTAGCCTCCTCTTGTTGCTTGACTGTAGTTTATTTTTCTTCAGTGCCATATGAGATATCTGCACAGGGGTTAAAAAATGTAATAATTAGGGGTTCTTTCACACAGTTTTGGGTACTCCAAAGAGTCTAGAATGATAATCATAGTCGTTGCATATGCAATAGAATTTATGTCTGGTATTTCTTTTAGTTTAGGGAAAGTAAGCATAAGTTCTCCTGTCTTATATTGCTGGGTTGTCAATAATATTAAACTTTACCAGTTAGATGGATTTTGAATTCCACAAAACAACCACAACCAGTACTCCTCACTACACCCTCTAAATGCAAGAAAGGAGAGTTAGTTCTTAGATAGTGTTTTCTTTTAGGTGAAGTTACAAAAAAATGTAATGAAGGCCTGTATCTCTGTCTCACATAAAGCTGTCCTCATATTTCCAACAAAACTCCATATAGAGACATAAGCAAGAGACTGAGGAATTCTCAGGATGTTAAATATTTTAAATCTCTGTATCTGGAGGTGAAGTAAGCCAATTCCCACTTCAGATTGGCTGTTCAAGATCTATTATTCAAATACCTGGCTAAATCTTTAGTTTTCACTCTGTTATAGGGAGGGATGGGAGTGGTGATTTAGTTTGAATTTACACTTCAACATTTTTTTTCAAAAACAAAGATGAAATCTGCTATATTTAAAATTTTGAGACCATGAGAAAGACTTTAATTCACACTCTACTCACAAAAGGAACAGGTTGAACTGTCAGTGGATAAATATTGACTTTTACTACAATAATGTTAATAAGAAAACTGTTAAAATTCAGAAATATTTTATACATATCAATTCTCCATTTCTATAACATAAAAAAAGATTAAATTAGTTAAATTCTATGTTTTTTTCTTGAATAAAAAATCTGCCAATCTCAGCCAAAGGGAAAATTATACACTTAACATATATTATACACTTAAGTAAGCCATAATTTGTGCTGACATTTGAAAGTTTCTGATATACTAGCCTGTAGAATTTGAACAAGTTACAGAGGCTGCTAACATTGCTATTCTTTAAGTCCCACAGGTGAATTCACTGAGTTATTCACATATCAAATTGTACTGTTTTCAAAGCTGATAGTTCACACAGGAATTTTTTAGTGGAAAAAAATTTTAGATGCTAAACACCACTAGAAAAAACATACACAAATAGTTAAATAACAGGAAAGTGATAAAAAATACCTCAGAAATAAATATTTGCCTGTAAATGTTAAAGCATTTACACATCTGTCACTGTGTTTTAAAAGAGATAAAATGGTCTAGTTAAATAGTGTCAGCTATATTCAAGAATGACTCTGTGAGAAGAGCAATGAGAAAAAGTCATCTGAGGATAGTAAAGAACAGTATTTGAAGTTAAAACTGTCAAGTCTAAGTATTTATAAATTCATATTTAGGCATCAGATATGAAGAACCACATCTTTATAGTGTTCATCAACCAGAAGCTTCCATGTAGATAATGAAAGGAAAAGGTCACACTTTAAAAAAATTACCATGCAAAGCAAATCTTCTTGAGGCCTCACAGGAATTTGTAGTGAGAGACAGTTGATTTTTCTTTAAAGTAGGTGCTCCTCTATTTTGCCTTTCATTAAACAGTACTGTGTTGAGCTAGAGATGAGCTGTGAGACATAACCTTATATATTATGATGATTTAGAAGATAAGCCTCATCTTTGTGTGTCCAGAGAACTGCCTGAATCAATGGCATACACAGAAAGCCCTGCTTTCTCTCAGGCACAAGAGACAGACATAAACAGTCCAGCCCAGAGAGGTAAAGAGAGCAATCAAATGCATTAAACAAGCATAATTCATAATGATGACTGAGATTCAAAACGTTAATAACCTGGAGAGTGTGGTACTGCTGTGAGATTCATTACACTACTGCCTAAATAATAAGTTCAGATACAATGCCATGTTCCTATAGATATGCTGCATTTAATTGGGAAATTAGCTTTGTCAGCATTACTAAGAAATCTTCATAAGGGGCCATAACCTTTTAATAGGATTTTAAGATCTGATAGCTACATTAATTAACTTGGATTTGGAAAAAAATTATTTCAAATCAATGTAACATGTATATGAATATTTTATTTGAATATAAAAATATCATACTTGTGATATCAATCAGATTCAAATACTTTTTGGGAAGGAAACGGAATGTTGTGGGTTAGAAAAGTTACTTCCCAGTTTAATGCTCCCACTGAGATTCTCCAAATCATGCTGCTGCTGTTTGCTCCACCTCCTCCTCCCCCTCCCTCTTCCCTCTGAATTGGGCTGGAGAGGAGAACTGAAAGCAGAGAAGGTAAAATCAGGGGTTGAGATAAAAGAAATATACTGTAAAAAGCAACAGAAGATGAAAAAAAACAGTATAAGCAACAATATAAAGAACAAAAATGTACAAAAGGGAGAGCATGATCCACATGAAAAATGCTCTCCACAGTGTCCAACCTGACCATAGCCACATCACCCCAACTGGTCTCTCAGCTTGGAACTGGCATTATCCAGCCACTCCCTCCGGCTTGGAACTAGAATTCCCCAAATGCTCCATCAGGCTCAGAACTGGTGTTACCCTACCACTCCCTCTCCACATTTATTTGATTGTAGGGAAACCCTTTTCCCTAGAAAGGACTCCCTTCCCCCTTGCCCCTGGTAATGATGTGAGATATAGAATAATTCCTTGCTATTTTCATGAGAAAAATAGCTTGTTTGTGATTATGATTTTGTAACAACTTCTGCAGCTGGATACCCACACAGAATTTTGCTATTTGCCCTCAACACAACAGGGTGAGAAAACTGGAAGAAAATCTAATGGAAGAAAATCAAAATACACATAGGCAGACTACTTATCATTTACCATAAAGAACAAAAAACAAATTCAGCTTGGAGAAAATGTATAGAATTTATTGTCAAGTAAAGTAGATTTAGGTAATGGGAAATAAAGACAAATTGTTAAAAAAAAAAAAAAACACACAAAAAAACCCCACTTCTCCTTTAACCCTGTATCTTCAGACTAAATTTCACTATTTCTCTTCTGACTTTTCTACCCAGCTCCCCAGAGTGGTCAGGATGGGATGGATAATTAAGCGTTATGAGTACATATCATCTCCTCTCTGCCTCTCCTTCCTCACAATTTTCTCCTTCTTCAGCATGGGTTTTTTCACAGACTGAGGTCCATCATAGACCTATTGGGAACTGTCTGTCCCTGGCATTGGGCTGCTCCAAACTTTCCTTACAAAGGCCACTCCTGAAACATCCCTGCAAACAAAATTTTGACATGCACAGCAAATATAGTGACAAAGCAGAGTGGGGAAAACTGACTTCAGTGCCTAAATAAGGACCACTTGTGTTCTTTATGAGTTTTTAAGTGGAAAACTAAAATGTCATTGTCATTCAGATATTAGAAAGAATAGTTTTCACCAAGTTTTACTAAAAACACATATATGTTGTTTGGACATATTTGTTTGGACAACAAACGTGTTGTCCAAAACAGTCCTAATTTATTGAAAGATAAAGAAGGTCCTTTATGGCGGTGTAGCAGCTTACATGAAAAGACAACACATCTTTTTGCCTTCAAAAAAGTATTCTTTATTTATTTGCATCTGCTCCAGTGGTCTTCATTATAAGAATTTCATCCTCTGGATGGGAATTGACAAATAAGCAGATATAAATTTTAGTACATCTGACTTTTCTTACCTGTCAATCTTAGAATGTCATCAAAGACTCTACAGTGGAAGTACAAATCTCACTTCTTTCACTGCAAAAGTTTTATGATTTTTTCAGATTTATATATCTAAGGTTGATGCCTAAAGAAAGACAGATTCTGTGTTCTTTTCCTTGGATAAATTCTACAATAATGAAGCAAAACAACTCAGTTTTTACTAAATGTTATCATAAGGAGGGTTGTAGTTATCTAAAAGCACCCACTTGTGCATTTTCCAGTCTCTCTGTTACTGGGAAGTGATATGCTGAAGTCATATAATACTTTGGGAGAAAACAGATTTCAGCAGTTAAGTCACAAGAGACACACAAAAAGAGACCTATCTTAATCTCAGTGATGGTTTTAGTCCCTAGATGGGAGCTTCACTGAAAATGCATTTGTAATCATTTTCTTTTTTCATAACAAAACCCAATACTTGGTAACTCTATGTGACTCATAATCTAAATACATCAAAGGGCAAGAATGACATTTTCCTACTGAGTTGAGGCTTTACACTATGACTCCAACAAGGAGCTTGGTGGAAGAATGAGATAAAAGAATTTGCTTTTCCTTCACAGTGTCTAGCTACTTCGGCATGTAAGTTCTATAATTGTGCAGGGGATAAGGTTAAAAAGTGAGGGTAATGTAGGAGAATACTAATATAACTCTGCCACATTATGAAGAACTTTCTTTCCATTAATGAAAAACTACTTATACATGAAAATAAAATACCTCCGTTGTGGTATCTAAAGAACACCAAGCTGACTGATGCAGTTGATGCACTAGATGGAGGAAATGCCTTCCAGAGGGACTTCAATAGGCTTGAGGAGTGCATCCAAGTAGACCCAATGAAGTTAACAAGGCCATGTGTAAAGTCTTGTACCTGGGTCAGCAGGGCAACTCCAATGAGGATGAATATTTTGGGAAAAGGCCTGTGAACATGGAATTCATGATACTGATGGTTGAAAAAAAATGAGCCAGTATTCTATACTTGCAGCCCAGAAAGTCAATCGTATCCAAGTCTGCATTAACAGAATAATGGCCAGCAGATGGAGGGGGATGATTCTTTCCATATACTCTGCTTTCACGAGAGCCCCTCCTGGAGTGGTGTTCCGCTCTGCAATACCAAGTACAAGAAAGACAGAATGTGTTAGAGCACATCCAGAGGATAGTATTGGAAATTGTCAGAGGGATAGAATACCTATGCTATCAAGACAGACTAAGAGAGTTGGGGCTGATCATATTGTAAACCAGAAGATTCAGTCTGCTGAGTCTTAAAGTGGTTTTATAAGAAAGATGGAGAGGAGCTTTTTACCAGGGCCTGGAGTAACAGGACAAGGGGTGATGGATTTAAACCAAAAGGAGAGAGATTTAGATAGGATATGAAGAAGGTTTTTTTTTTTCTTCCTTTGTTACAAGTCCAGTGAGACAGTAGAATGGGTTGCCAAGAAAATCTTCAGGTGCCAAATCTTTGCATGTGTTCAAAGCAGGTTAAAAAAGGTTTTCAGCATCCTAATCTAGAGAAAGATATCCCTGCTCATATGTGATTTGGACTGGATGATCCTTAAAGATTTATTCCAATTCAATTCATGCTATGATTCTAGAATCCTAAGTTGTTCCCTAATCTGATCCTTTGTTACCAAGGATAAGTCTTCTTTCCTCCAGACTTTTCTCTCTGGTGTCCAGGGCCTAGAATTCCTGAAAAGGAAAAAAACCAAAATAACTTTTTATGCCTTGGAATAAGGAGGATACAAGAGGATTTTAAAACAAAAGTGACATTACAAAGGTAACAAAAGACAGAGGAAGGACAGCTATAAATAAAACTAAATGTACTAAAAGAAAAATGAGGAGATAAGAGGAATTTAAATTGTTTTACTAGTCAAACATCTTGACAAACTATGTTTCGAACTTGTTCTACAATCTTTAAAAGATATACAGTTTTATTTTTCTGTAAGATTTTTCTTTCCTTTGTCCACAGATAGATATTTGTACGTGATGTTTTTCAAGGCTGAAAAACATTCCAGGTTTTGTGTAACCAGATTTGACAATTGAAGTTGTACAGATCAGGTATGTATTTATCTAACACTACAAGGAATAACTTCACATTTTGGGCAAGTGTGAATCACAGAACCATAGAATCATTTATACTGAAAAGGACCTCTGAGATTGTCGAGTCCAACCCCTGACTGGACATTACCTTGTCAACTGGACCATGGCGATAAGTATCGCATCCAGTCCTTTCCTAAACTCTTCCAGTGATGGTGACTCCACCAGTTCCTGGGGCAGTCTATTCTCATGTTTAACAACCCCTTCCATGAAGGAATCCTCCTGATGTCCAGCCTGAATCTCTGCTGGCACAGCTTGACACTATGTCTTCTTGTCTTGTCACTGGTTGCAGGGTGATCCCCTCCTTGCTACAATCTCAGGAGGAAGGTAAGTTCACCCCTGAGCCTCCTCTTCTTGAACCTAAACAGCCCCAGCTCTATCAGCTGCTTATCATAGGACTTGTGCTCTAGAGCCTTCACCAGCCTTCTTCCCTGAACAAATGAGTTATTACAGGTTTCTTTTGGCACTTAGATCACTAAGACCAGTGCTGTTTTACTGTGGAAGCTGCAAACGTTTCACTGTTCTGAGATAATATTTAAATACATAATAGAAACACCTTCAGGATGTGAAAAAATATTAGGAAATGAATAAAGGCTTGTTAACTCACATTATTTGCAAGACTTGAACCAAACATTTACCTTACAACTCTGGCTGACATAGTTTAGGCTGTGGGTATTGGTATTTGAAGTATATACTACATTTAGAAATCTTTAGAGAACACGCAGAGTTGGAACAAATTTATTATTGAAAAAAAAAAAAAAAGACTGAAAAAAAAAAAAAAAAAAAAAAAAAAAAAAAAAAAAAAAAAAAAAAAAAAAAAAAAAAAAAAAAAAAAAAAAGAAAAATGAAGAGTGTTTAAAGGTACACTTTCTTTATCTCAAGTGACTACAGATATAATAGGATAGAGATGTTTACCTTTGCCTTGCATTTCCCACATCTATTCTTCAGTTTGATTAAAGCATGAAAACAGAACATTGCAGATTAATTATAGAAGTTTAGCTTAGTTTTATTTTGGTATAATATGTATAGACAAATAGACATGAATATATAATAAGTACACATATATATTTAACTAAGAATGGAAATGAAAACGAAAAGAAAAAATAGTTGATTATAAAAAGGCGAGGGGCGAAGTAGGCTAAGAGTTTAAACCCCTGTTGTCTTTTTGCTTATTTTGAAGATGTGAACCATTAGTCAGTCTCAGGTAAATAGGAGCATCTGCTGATTCAGAGGATCAGCTTAATTTGTTGGCATTTGCAAGGTTAATGATCCCCTTTCTTTCCATGAAGGCACTGTACTCCACACACCTGAGGTAATTCTGATTTTAATAGCATGGAATGAAGACACTGAATAGTGGTGGAAAGACAAATAAATCAGTAACTTTCAATGACCTTGTTTTTCAATGCTTGTACATATCTCAGCTGAGGAAAAAGCAATCATTTCCCTACTGGGCCTGAAAAGGCAACACGCTGTGAAGTTTTACAAGAAAAAAGTGAGCAGTACGTAATATGAGAGTGGTCAAATTCTGGAACAGGTTGCCTAGAGAAACTGTGGAATATTTATCTGTGGAAATACTCAAATATTTACTGCACACAGCTCAAAGCAATCTGATTTAACTGCTCTGCACAGAAGATGCATTTAGGACTTAAATGACCTCTGGGGGTTACTTCTAAAATTCATGATTCTGCAATTCTGTGAACAATTTGTATACCTGTGACATTCTGTGATGACAGGATAAAGATGACCCAAACCTGTCCAAGCATCTCCTGGATTGTTCTGGTGTTAGATCCACTGTATTATACATTTTCATAACTTACAGCCTAGTCCTAATTCTGGCCCATTTTGATATTTGTTGCTTTTTTGTTTAGTTTTGTTTTTGTTGTTGTTGCTCTTTTGCTTTGTTTTGTTTTGTTATTGTCATGTCAAAGATTCTGAGTTATATGAGAAGCTACTTAAAAATAAAGGTATATTGCCTAAAACATTCTTTGAAAGACATGGCCCTGTAGAGTTCAGCTATTAAAATTAGGGCACCTGAACCATTGATATCTCAGAAACATCTGGGGGTTTGATGATTATAAGTTTTTCTTTGTCACATAAAACTCATGGCTTGTCTTGTTTTGAACTGATTGTTTTTAGTTGTCAGACCACAAAGATAGGAGCTGCCATAGCCTTAAATATTTATGCCACTTTGTAGTATTACAACTTCTGCTGAAATTCACAATATTTTATCATTAAAACCATAATAGATAACTAGAATGAAATGCTACACAGGTGAAATTATTATATGCCCCAGATTTGGAAATTTTGAAATTATTCTCAAAGGCTGTAATGGCAGCTGAATGACTTCTTTACAGGAAATGTTAATGAGAAATAGATAATGAAATAATATAAGTAAAGATTGGATAAGCAGCAAAATGTATTAAAATATATGACACTGGTCATACTTTGCAAATTATTATCTTCAGAGTATAAAAATTAAATGTATATGCAAGCTGGATTTGAAAATATGAATAAACCCCCATTTTTAAAATATTAATAAAGCTGTTTTTTTACATTTTTGTTTGAATTCTAATGAGCTTTAGGTGTTGAGTTCAGCTCAGTAGCAACTGCATTCATCTGTCTGTTCTCAAATGTCTTTATAGATCTATACCTAAGTGTCTTTACATGAGCCAGGTGTCTGAATTTAGACTATAGTCAATGTAAATCTAATCAGGACAGTCAAATGGTTCAGGTCACCCCATATTTCAGACCAGGGGCTTGGTTCTATTGCCTGCACATGAGAATCTAATAGTGTTTGGGATGCTGCTGAGCATCCTGCCCATCTGTTGTCAGTGTAGATCTTCTGCAGCTCTTGTGTGATCTCATTCCACTTTGAGGGTCTCAGAGACCTGACCAGTGTTACATGAACCTGGTTTAATACAGCTGTCTGCTGTTAGGCTTTTAGATCAAATATTTCAGTTTATCAGTTTTTTACTTCAGTTACTACAGCAAGCTGACATGTTAAAAGATCTTGAAGATACTGATGTATGCAAATATATAATCAATTTATACTGTGATGATGATCTCTCTAGAGATATAAGAGAAGGGAGTATTTTGTTTTATAAAATCCCGCTGCTGCTCTAAGATATTTTTTAAAATCTAGAAGATTTTTGAATTAATTTTTTGTTTAAAAAATTACTTCATAATTTTTCATACATTTTACATTGTATCACTAATTTTTTAGATATAATTGCACTTTCTCAGAAATTGCATAAATACGCACACACCTATAAGTGTATGCTGCTTTCAAAAATTATTTTGGGCAGTCCATTATAGCACCTTGATTTCTCTCCTGATGAGAAATGTATTTTTCATTGTGGAATTAAAAGAACTATTATCTATTTTTTTTTTGTATGAATCTGTATTAACTTTAGGAACTGAAGAATATATATAATGTCTTGCTTAGAATTTTATTTTTAAACCTTGCTTTGATTGACTAGGAAAAAGTAGTAATTTTTAATTTTGAGCAGATATAAATAATTTGTATCTACAGCTTTTTACCTAGCAGCACAAGTCAGGAAAAGCCCTGAAAACAATTCAAGCAATTGTGCCATCTGCCAAGGTTGTGAAGCTAAGGAGAATCTGGTAGAGTATTATTGTTATGCACATTGGTCTGCTAAGACTTCTGTATTGTGATGGGTTGACCCCAGCTGGAAGCCAAATGTCCACCAAAGTCACTTTGTCACTCTCCTCCTCTACACAATAGGGGCAAGGAATTGTAATGAAAACCAAATGGGTCAAGATAAAGACAGGGACTGACCAGTCAGCTAATGTCATGAACAAAACAGGGAAAATATGTTAATTTATTACCAACAAAACCAGAGTAGGATATAAGAAATAAACCCAAATTTTAAAACATCTTCTCCATCCCTGTCCCTTTTTCCCAGTCTCCACTTTACCTCTGAGTTCCCTACCTCCTCCCCCACAGCACCGCAAGAGCAGAAACTGGGGGTTGCATTTGGTTCACAGCATGTCCCTGCTAGTTCTTCCTCAAGCACTTGTGCATCAATTCTCACTGTGTCACTCTGCTCCTCTGTGGGATTTCAGAGGACACAATGGAACTGGAGGAGTTCTTGCACTGGCTGCAGCTCATGCCCTTACCTCCTTTGAAGCCTCTGTTGAACTACTGCTGGTTTGGTTAAGGGATTGAGTGCACCCATCAGACATCAGATATCAGATACCTAAGACATCTAAGACATCCACACTGAACTGGAAGATACGTCCAAGGATGTCACTAAAATGAAACAAAATGCCTGGGCAAAGGCACAGGAGTCACATTTTTTGAGATGCCTCTCTTACACAAGCATCATTTGCATTTTACTAAGGCCTCTATTTTTCAGATTTTATTTTTACCACCTACGCTTTCACTAGCTTCTATTCATGTCAGAACAATAGCTGCATTAAAAATGAACCCAAGGACCTCAAGAACTGAGCCTTCAACAGTAATGGTATTGAGCAGAAAGTGGTAAAGAGCAGAAGAAAGAGGCAATATGAATTTTGTATGAATCCTGAAGAGTTGTCACAGAAAACAGATAACTAGCGACTACTAACAGATTATACATATTAGGGAAAAAATCAGATTCTGGACATTGGTATATTCTCCCTAAATTCTAACAGTCTATCACAATGCATGCTGTTCAACAAGAACTTTTCTCAAGTGTTTCTGCATTATATTTGATTATCATTGTCTGTGGGTATAGAGGATTTGTGTTGTTTTCTTTCTTTGCCAAAATATGTCTCTGGAGTTATCTTACCAGAATTTTCTTACTATTTCTAACACTTTATTTTCACAATGCCATAAAATGGGAGGGTGAAAATAATTCTCATTTATTTTGATGTCAGGTCACTTCTTCTAGACAGCCCTGGTCTCTCTCCCTTCCACTTTCTTGTATAAAGCTGCAGTTTTC